GACAATAAAGGTGATTTCATGCAAGCAAAATTTAAAACTTAAATGAATTTTAAACTTAAACCAATAATATAAAACTATGAAATGTAATGTAGGTGCTCATGCAAGAAACTAAATAATTAAAACAAAAATAAAAACTAAGAAAGATGGCCAACATTCAACTAAGAAATTTATTTCTTCCATAATTCAAGACAGCGCATGCGTCAAATAATAACTAGCCGCGCTGGAAAAAGATTAAATAGCTGATGAAAGGTTATTGCATGAACACCCATATATTTCAAATTTACAATTCATTTAAATATTGAATTCATAATAATTGAGTTGATGTTGCATGAATCCTCCAATTTTTTACGAAATCCGCTAAATTGTGTGTGGGCCTCAGCTATCAATTGGAGGCTTGACTATAATCGAGTTTTTCGTCGTCGGTGCATAAATAACTATGTTATCAAACTATTGCATTGAACTTTCTGTAAAATGCCAACCGAAAACGGGTCTAAAATAATGAACAATGTTTGCGAAAAATGCTTGTGTATAACCTTCGGCCAGAGAAAATATTTTTTCATTCAACCAATTATTTCTAATCTTTGAATATTTTCATGATTATGAACTTGAAATTTGATGTTTATCATTTTTCTGTTTCCATCTACACGAAAATCGAATGAAAATATAATTCCCATCACACTACTAGCCTTAGTTCATTGAACGACAGCAAAATACTGTGGAGTGTTGCTCACACCCGAAATGTTTACAAGAATATGGTGTTTGCACTGATGCGCTTTTGTATTGCCCAAACTTGAGGACAATAAACAGTTGAAAATCGCAATATAAGATTCTTGTCAGATCTTCTTCTAATAGATATCGCTGTACGAGTTTTCTTTGAAATAGAAATAGGAACTCAATTATCAGAATTCATATGAACACTGTCAAAAATGAACATACTACACCATTTCTGTATTTTTTATCTTGATTGTTGTTATTTCGTCCGATGGCCATTAAAAATATGCCGATATCAGCGTCTCTTACGGATTTTTTATGAACAAGAACCTTATAAGTGTCGTCAGTTTTTGACCAATGTAGCCATGGCAACCAGCCTTGATTAAGAACACCATTATCTTATAAACATCTCGCTCACTCCCCATGTGTTTAGAGTCTTTCGAAAATCAGTAGGAGCGTCTAGAGCAAGGAATGTTCTGGATCTGCTTCAATTGACTTTGGGAAGACTATACTGATGTTTCAATCTTCCACGGCTACACTCAAGAGTTAGGTTTACTCAAATTTAATGGAATACAAAAACTTGAACTCTCAATTTGTTGAATCAATTACCAGTTAATTACTGCAATACTCATACTTTGTACTGAGGTAAGTGTGGCTTAATAGGTTCTAAATAACGTCTGCTCGTGACTCCTAAGAGACGTGCATCGACCTGCAGGAGTAACAGGACACCCTGTATACCCAGTGATTCACATTATTCACATCCACACTTTTGGAAAAAAATTACATATCATATCGGGTTGTTCACTTTATACTAGCAGACTTTCCGACAATTGATTGAAGAAGCATTTTTAGGAGGAACAGTTTCTTTAACATATTTCCTTCAACTACTAAAAAACCGCTCGACAAAATTAGAGATATTCTGGTTACATACTAAGTAACTGGGCGTCGTTAGGGCAATATCAATGTTCTTCATTATGTATTAAACAGTTAATAATGGAAATGTTCGAATTTTATTACAGAATTTGAAAGAATGTTCAGTTTTATTGAAATAAAATCCTCCTGTTAAAACTCTAAATATTACGAATCGTTTTCGAATAAAATTTGAACATTTTGACCACAGATTTTGGTGTGTGTGTGTGTATCGAATAATTCATTCAAGACACCTGGTATGATTACTGGATAACCACATTCTGAAATGTTGGTATAATTTCAGTCACATAATAGACTAATTGTGAATACCATTGGGAAAGTCCTGCACTGACTGAGAACTAATGTTGCACTGACACTATCAGTTTCGCACTGGTGCAATCCCAATGGGATATGATAATATTGAACAAACCTTCAATCACATCTCCATTACCGCATTTTTTCATATCTTCAACAAAATAATTTATGTAAAAACTTCACAAACGATGAATAATTTATTTTAGGAATAGGTTTCCTTTCTTGGAATTGATGCACTTTTCATGTCATCGCAACTGGAGGAGGACGATGATAGCAACTATAAATTGAGTTTATATGGGGTTTTTCAGAATTATCTATTAATGAACCGGTCATTTTGTCAATTTGACTGATGCACTGATATTGCACTCGGCTTGCACGACCTCCTAGAGCCCGTGCAATAATTGTTGCACCGTGTGCAAAAACTGTTGAACCGAGTGCAACACCAAATGCACCAGTTTTGGCGATTTTTCAATAGGACACAGAAACCACAACTGGTTTTACCAATGGGACTCATTATATATGCACTCAGTGCACACGAGTCTTGCCATAACCATAACTCATACAAAATGTTTATAAAAATGTCTGTAAGCTCATTTTCAATTTCAACGCCCCATATCTCGAAAATAAAGCTTCTTATGACCAATATCCATGGGCTTTTATTATTCAGATAGGATCTATCGATTGTCGAAGTTCTGCTACTATAAAGTGAACAACCCTGTATTTATGGTATCGATCAAGGAATGAATACTGTATGTGAAATGATCTGAATCCGAAAATGTAAAAATTTATAGGATGTTGTATTTGAAAAGCGAAAGTTCAGTTCTTCGTATAACTTTTATTCCTAAAATCCTCGGTTGCTAAGTTACGTGCCCTGGAAGTAACAAAATGGAAAATGTTTTTCTCTGATAACCAAACGAATGAAGTCCTTGAATGAGGTTTCATGCATGAATCAGTTGTTTTGCTATAAAGTCAGTAACGAGGGCCCGTGACAGAGGATTTTAGCAGAACGTTGTATGAAGTATGAAGTACTGATGATATTATGTTCTAGAAAAAAAAGAGAATTTCTTAGGACACCTTCTAAAATGAGTGACGAAATGTGTTGCAATTTCATATACATATAATACAGTTACAATTAACGAAAAAGCTCAGTTCAGTTCTTCAATATTCAAATTCTTGATCCCAACTATAACATTGCGTGCACAAAATTCTAAGCACCAATTGGTATACACAGTAACATAAAACATCATATAGATAATTTGTTTTTATTCAATAGATACATCAACAACAATTATGTCAGTTTCGACCCAACTTGAATTTGATGTACGACATTTCATTCTGACTCGTTGACATTTCAACTGCCAAGGATTATTAGCATAGAGTAGTCGCTAATGTCAAGTGGAGTTTAGATGATAAAATGTTATATAAACCAAGTGACCAGGTATATTTATACCCTATTTGAAATGAGTATATCTCTGGAATATGTTGAAATGCTGTTGCACTAGTCTATTTTTTCATCGACTTCCCATTGAAGGTAATATCACCAGAAAACAAAACATGGCCCCTTCAAGTATCAGACATTTTTTCCCACCTAACAATATATCACAGTTATGTTCTTCAAAATACTTTGGAACTATGACCCTAGGAACATTGTTTCAACGCCCAAAAACATGAAAAAAGCATAAACTAAACCAAACATTATTCATAAAAGATTGAGGCATCAAAAACATCTACGATTTCAATGAAAGTAGCAAAATAACGAAAGTATCAACATTTTGTTAATTAATGACCCGTCGTAATCGCAATCACGATCTGTCCAATTAACAATTCAAAATCAGTTCAATCGACACTGACGATAGGCAGTCAAATCCTTCAGTTGATGAAGTTGGTGTTATGATAAAATTCTTATTCCCATTTGTTTTTTTGTTTATTAATTAAACAATGAGACGGGATTGGCGCCGTGAAAGAGTGCCCAACTCGTGACCGCGAGGTCGTGAGATCGAATCCTAGCCAGGACAAGTAATGTTTATGATATTTATTTAAAAATTGAATATTGTAAAGTTTCATTGTTGCGTTCCAATTAACGGTGCTGCTCCTAAAATGGCGTATGAAGTCTGCACAGAACACACAATTCAGAGCCCATGGGCTGAAGGGCCTCGATTGACATCATTTTTTTGCAACTTTTAAATGGGCGATTTCTTGGTGAAATAGTTTATTTTGATAAATCTACAACAAATCTGTTATTTATCACCAATTTTTGCTGAATGTCTTGAAGAAAGTTCAAAAAGTCAAACCTCCTGAAGATATGAAAATATACAGTGTATTTCCATCAAGAAATGAAGTAGGCTCAAACCTGAAAAATGCAAGGTTTTCAAATAGACATGTGATTTTCAATAAATCCAAAAATTTTAAGAAGTAAATTAGTCTAAAAATCAGAAAAAAGAAGTCAAAATCCAAGAAGATATATCTCGAATTTTGTCGGAAATATAACCATTTCATATGTCAAAATAAAATTGGTCACTCAGTTCCACAATTCAATCCATATCCTAATAATTAATCACAATCGATCACTTGATATTTTCAGGATATGAGAATTTTTCGAGATAATACAGTGGAGAACAACTTTAGATTGCAATTGTATCCGCTAATAACATAGTGTCAGCTAATTGGTTAAGGCATAGGCGTTCAACTAAGGAGATGAAATGGCTTGTGCTATTCATTTTCCCAAAATTCAACTTCGAATTCCAAGACCATCAATGTGTCTGCCTTTTCAAAAATATTTTCAATGTATAACCCATGAAAAATAACATAACCACATTATTGACGGTGATGCAGTGATTGATAAAAATCGTTATCAGGAATTTAGTGGTGCGTATGAATGGATAGCCAGTCCGACCAGCCTGACATTCATACAGGGTGTAACTCAAGTGGTATTCAATAAAAAAGTATAAAAAGAGAGGTTAACGTCATCCTAGTCCTAGTTGTGAAAAACTGTCATTCCCGATAGCCCTTTATACTTAAATATGATAATGTTAATTTCTATCTCTAATACTTGTACGCTTTTTTTTCCAATATAACTGTACTTGCATGAAATTCTGTACACCACGTTATACTTGGATAATTTTCATGAAATACACTGAACTCTGCAATTGATCAGTAGCAGATATGAGGGTAATCAGTGTTCTGAATTCAAGAAAATAATTCGGAAATCTCATCAGATGAAACACGAAACAGGTTCATTTTTGCTTCTTCAGATAGTTTCTTGGAATAGGTGAATTTCTCCACATAAAATAACACGTTTTTGTCTCTATGATTGATCAACAATAAGAAAGGAATAACTGAACCGATTTTATTATTAGAGTCTCGAAGTTTATCTCAAATATTATGTAGAGTTTGAGAATTAATGTTTATGTGAACATTTTTGAAAGACTGACTGATGATTACCAACCAGAAATATTTAACATACTCGAGTCACACCCTGTATATATTACGTTTGGGTCATAATTGGCAGTCAACATATTGAGCCCAGTTGAGAATGAATGCCTACATAACAAATTCCAGTTTTGTGACTGACTTTCAAAATCTCTATATACACGGTACCAACCCCACTTCAGAATGTAAACTGCTCTAACTTTGTCATTTATGGAGTTGATAATTTTTGTTTTTGCAACTTCTGACATGGTTCACAAATCATTATATTTTTGAAGTTTTGCCTAGTTTTTCCATCATAGGCAGCTTCAAATCTCACTAATTTTCCTTCAGTTTGAAAAAAATATGAAATGGGAATTCAATAATCAGAGGGGTGTAGAATCCAAAGTGGGTTATTTATTCATTCTTTCATACTGAAGTATAGCTGCCAAAAACTTGATGTTTGTGCGGTGCTACTCAAAAGTTTATAGAGAGTTGAACAACAAGCAACACAAATCAACTTCCACATCGTTTTTATTATATTCATGTAAGAAAAATCAGACGGGAGTCATATTTGCGAGTTGCTTCTAGACTTCAAAGCCAATTCGTCAGAATTTAAAATGAGACAACCTATCAAAGGTACCAAAGTTCTGTCTAACCACGTTACCGGGTTTGGATAAATCAGACCCCCTTCATAGAAGCCCAAATGACCACCGTGGGCTAATTCAATATAGGCCGTTTTGTTCTTTTCCACTGAAATAATCAGACTATTAGAAATCTATTTTCAACAGATGTCTGTCCAGAATTATCACCAGAAAACTTACTTGCAAGTTGTTTCACAGTGTCCAATAGAGGTTCTGCAATGATAGGATCATCTTTAGTATTTATGAAGATTATCGGTAGATTGATGTCATTGTGATAGTATTTACTGGAACACCAACGGTAATAGTCTGTTAAGGAATCAAATTCCTGGACTTTTCTCCCATAGGCCTCATCTAATTCCGGAAGAGTTGCTGCAGATATGATTTCTCTCTCATTCAAATTGTATTTCCTTTTGATATCGTCTGTTAGGAGGATTTTACGATGTCTCAGTATGGTATTTTTCATGTTCTCTGTCATGACATACAAATAGAATCTCCTGAAATTCTGCCAGTTGAGCAAATACTTGGTTCCGCTGAAAATAAAACGGTGAATTTGAATCAGGCAATAAGTATTTTTGTTAATAATGCTTTTTGGCACTCACTGATTTTTCTCCAAAAGACACTAATTTCGTGATGAAAATACGAAAAATCTAATATTTATCCAGGTATATCTCAAAAATGTTCGAAATTTCGCCTATTTTTCGCTCGTCTGGAGAACGTGATACAGATTCTTGCCCTTATATACTTTATGCACTACCGGCATAAAGTAGCACTTGAGCGCTATTGCTTGTGCTGTCATTCATAAGCTACGGTTCATAAAAACCTATTTTACGCTATTGATACATAATAGTTATTTATGTATCAAAGGCGTTCATGGCCTGAGGCGTGAATCAAATCAACAATAAATAACATGTTCGTTTGATTTTTTACATATTTGGATTTTAGTGAAATATCAGATGACGGCCGTTCAACGATCAAAGACGTACGATGCAAATAAATGAGGCCAGAATTCACTTCCCACATAGGGGTACGCACGGAGAAACGTTATATGTCAACCATCTTTTTGAATTTGGAATGATATTCTCCCTTCTTCAAACTGTTTTCCACTTCAATGGTTGACGCAAGCTTGAATGATGGAGAGACGTTACGTCAATCATCTTTTCGAATTTGGAATATTATTCCTTCTTCTAACAATTTTTGACTTTAATGGTTGAAGCAAGCCGTATTGTGCGATATGGATATTCAGAATAAAATGAAGGTGTTATATTATTTCCCAGAAAAATAATACAATACGAAAAAAGGTGGAAGAATATCATTCACAATTCGAAAAGGCGGACGTAACGCATTTCAAAAGCAATTGCAAAGGGCGGAAAGAAAGAAATTTCGAACTTTTCAGTGAAATATTTCAATGTAAACTGGTTGGTTTAACCAAAAAAATTCAAAAAATACTCATCCTTTGGTAATTATATCCAAAAAAATCACCTATAATTGAGTTTATATTATGGATTCCGAAAGTCAACAGTTGGTTTCTCAATTAAATGTGAAATATCAACAGACTAATGAATACTAACAAAAAAGCTTACTGTAGAGCACAATATCCTTGACATATTGATATTCCTCCAATGACATGAGATGGTTTCATTTTATTTTCTCCCAAGTATTTCGTAATGATACAGCCACCTAAACTGAAACCTACACAAACGACTCTGGTTTTAGGATATTTTGCAATTACATCTTTAATCATGGCTTCATAATCATCAGTATTCCCTGAAAAAAAAATTAATATTTCTATGATCTGTCCCGGTGATGGTACTTATTATTATTATTTTGTATGAATAGACTGACCATAGTTGAAAATTCTAGGAGCTGTGACAGGAACATTTTTCAGTACACCGACGTGATTCAAAACAATACATCTGTACCCATGGTATTGAGCCCAATGAACAAATGTACGAACATAAATGCTTTCAGAGGTATTACAAATTCCAGGGCAGATGGCTATAGTGATGTCATCTGAAAAAAGTATAAGCTGACTAATACAATACATACAAGAAACATTTTCAAAAATAAATTACTCAAACTCAATACACTTAACATGGCAGGGATATTATTTATAACTGTATTAGCTTTTTATTTTAGTAAACAAGTATATCATTATATTTCTTCTTGTTGTTCAAGTTTAGTGTAGTAGCCCATCCCCCCGTACTGCCACTGATACAACCTAGAGGGTTGGTCAAACTGAGAATATCTATTCGCTATTTTTTTCTGTGTTGGCAAGTTTAATCATTGGTGTGTGATATTCAACATTTTATATCAACAGAGTAGACCAGTGCCGGTTCAACCAGGTGCCATTTCGGTACTTAAGTACTAGGAGGTGAAATCATTTAAGCACTACTAACATGTTGATGTCATAAGAAATTCACAATTACAGGTGATAAAAACATTAGAAAAGCAAACGCAGTTACGAAGTGATTCTCAAACTGATCAAGTTCCAACAAAATGCACACTGAAAACGATTTCTATATTAACATTATATTAATATATGTATAATGATATGAATTATATCAATAATAAAATATTGAAATTATTTATTCAAAAAAAGTTGACAGAATATTGTGTATCTAGATTATGTTGAATCATTGAACAAGTCCTTGCTTATACAGGATGCTGTGAAATTCCACCGACAAGGCTTCTCAGGTGATAGCTCTCGTAATTTTACAATGACCAGATAGGTGTTAAGTTCGCGAGACGAGAGCTTGTGGTAATACGAGCATAAACTACTATGCTAAATTGAACAGTTTCGAGATATAGAATAGTTATAGAAATACAAAATTGCGTAAGCATTTTTCACTCGATTTTTCATCATTTTCCATAGCCGATTATTACAAAAATATATTTTTATAATAATATACTTCTTTGTTTGCGTTCTCTAGCTGAACATAAACAGTTATCTCATACATGAAGGGAAAACAAACATTTTTGTAATTTTCTACTTCTGAATATAATGAAATACTACTAGGTATGCAAACCTATATTTTGAATCAAAATCTTGAAACCTGTTTTCATCTCAATCAATAATTTAGCGTTTTCTCAAAAATACTGAATTGGTAAAATAATCGACATTTCATCAATGGCGTGGAAAATATGTAAGAACAAAATGAACACCCTTTATATGTCTTCACAATTGGAAATACTTTTTGAAGAGCTTTCCAAAAATAACCCGCTCAACCCATTCATCTTCTCTATTCTCCAAAAAAATAGGCTTCCAAAACTAACAGTTTGAATTTTGAATGATTTTCGAGAGTAGGTCATAACAATGGCCACAATAGTGATTTTACCAAACTAGAAAGTCCATAGACACAGCTCTCCATCATCTTATTCGAAGGGTGGAGAGAGTGCTAGCTTGTGGAAGATCTGCCATGGGGGTCTTCTTAGACATAGAAAAAGCCTTTGACAATCATATACGTATTAATAAACAATACGGATCATAACGGGTGCCAGGATGAAGCCAAAAATATGAAACAAATGAATATCCATAAGGATTTGGTGGCATGATACGCATGCGCTATTATAGTAGTCATCAAAGACATGCGTTTCGGTGGACAATGACGTTTACTAGCCTTTCAATCAAAGCAGTATGTGTCTGATCGTTTCAAAGGTCATGAAATTCTGTTGTTTTTGTTTACGTTTCGCGGACATGTTTATTTGAAAAACTTACCTACCAAGATAATGAAGACCTGTGGACAAAAATAAATAAATGATTCCATTCTTTCAGAATTTATATTTTCACTAGTATGTCCTGTATCATTCATAATCATTAAATCATCCTGAAATAATGAATTATATCCCGAAAATCCTAATAATAAAACATAAACATAGTCCATAAATGTCATGTCACTCATGTCAAAATATTCAAAATAATGAGTTAGGTTAGAATGAATGGGAATGATTGTCATTTGAACTTGCGTATTTGATCATGCGCAGTATCTCACTTTTCCTTATGGATAGTCATTTGTCTTCAAAAATCGGCTTCATGTTTCGCTATGGAAACAGATAGAGATTATCGGTATTGATTATTAATACGTATATGTTGACAATACGTCATTGGAGTCCATCTGTTCTGCTTCGGAGAGGCATGGAACTAACCCAACTGCAATCAGGTCTATTCGGGCCATGCTATCGCAGCGGGTAGTGAGAGCAGAACTAAGTGGGAGTTCTGTGGCCGCCAGAGTATCGAGAGGGTGCCCTCAAGGTGGGGTTTTATCACCGCAACAATGGTGCCTGGTGATCACTCAATGATTCAGGGATATATGCACAAGCATATGCAGATGACTTAGTTATTATGGCTCAAGTACAACTACCTACGAAACTCCAAAATGGGAGCTCTCAGAAAAGTTAAACAGTGGTGCTCCGCCGGTGGGCTAAGAGTGAATCCAGAAAAAGTGGACCTGACGACCTGATGCTATTCCCCAAGAAACGTAAAATAGGAACACTTCCAGAGGATTTTCTCTTTGGAAGGTATATCAATACAAAGGTTGGGGGCGGGTCTGGTGCAGGATTATATGAAGGAAGAACGGGGCAAGGAATCTCAGTACTTCTCGGCAAATACGCCTAAGTGAGCCAGGCCTAAGTGTTTGCAATACTGACGTGTGTCCAAGAAAATTTCGGCAGAAGTGAACGTGAACCAATTACCATATGCTCGGAATGGCATTGAGATACAATAGGATCACAACTAAATTTATGTCCGAGTGTAGAAGTGTCTTGGAAAATATGGCAAAAACTAGGAAATTAAGCCTCATGTACAGTGCATCCCATTTTGGGTGAGACAGCCAGGTTTCTCGCTTGTTATTTGAGATAGAGCCTTGCGGTTTTCACGTTCCTGCCCTACTTTTTTGTGAAACTCAAGATGGCCTAATCAGATTTTGCATAACTGTTTCCGTTTATGAGATACAGGGCGATTTTGGAAATTTATACTTTTCGGGACCCTCCTTTATCTCCGAAGTTATTAGAAATAATGCTGAGCTGAGAACTACGTCTGATACAGAATTCCGCGTAGAATCCAGGGACGTACTCACTTTTTTTTTTTCGGGGTATGGTTTTGAGTTGTGGTGTATGTTTTAGTGTTTTTTTAGCATTTCTGAACATCCTACCTATATAGTATCATACATCATTTTGAAGGTAAAAAAATAACGAATTCAATGAAGTGATAAAATACAGGGCGTTCCATTGAAAAAAAATATAGGTTTGTGTCGTATATTCAAAACCATACCCCGAAAAAAAAAAGTGAGTACGTCACCGGATTCTACGCGGAATTCTTTATCAGACGTAGTTCTCAGCTCAGCATTATTTCTAATAACTTCGGAGATAGAAGAGGGTCCCGAAAAGTATAAATTTCCAAAATCGCCCTGTATCTCATAAACGGACACAGTTATGCAAAATCTGATTAGGCCATCTTGAGTTTCACAAAAAAGTAGGACAGGAACGTGAAAACCGCAAGGCTCTATCTCAAATAACAAGCGAGAAACCTGGCTGTCTCACCCAAAATGGGATGCACTGTACATACACTCGTGTATCCCGGAGAACGAGGAGGCAGACAGATGACACCCATTGGACCATATAACCGATACTGGGAATACCCAGTAGCATGGCTTTGTCCTTCATGAAGGAAATGCTACAGAGAAACATGGCGGGACACACCAGGAATATGCCAATCAAAGCTCCATATGAAGGAACCTTCAAAAATGCTCATGAGAGGTCCTGACACTTAATAGAAGAGATCTCAAAATGGTAGTTGGGCTCCTAACTGAACACAACCACCTCAACAGGCACCTGGAGCTCATAGGGATCAAAGATGATCCCATCTGCATATGGTGCATGGAGGATGATGAAACATCATCGCACATACTTACTGAATGCTCCGCGCTGGTGCATCAGAGGAAAGCTGCCTTTGGGAGCATTGTATTGCACTCAAAGGATGTGAAAGTGATTCAGTTGAGGAAGCTGCTGAATTTCGTAAAATGAATTGGCATGTCCAGCTGATTCACAGGCCATGTGGGCGCACAATGGGCCCGACTGAAGAGGCCTGAGTGCAAGGGTCTTTGCACCCGCCCACCCGTGAGGAGAAGAAGAAGAAGGGGTATTCTTGGAAATCTCTTCAAGAAGTATTTCCAATGGCGAGGAAGATGTTTTATTTAAAATTCATACAATTCTTGATGCTTCTTGTATATTTTTTCAGATAGTGAAAACTTATATTTTTATTCAAGAAGTAAAAAAATCCTCTGTGTAAATTATAATGTGTCACCAGGTATACCATATGTGTGAAGTTTAGTGATGTGGATCGACCAAATAGTTCACGCCTCATAATCTTGTTTTACAGGGAGACCGATTATAATCAACATTAAGATTATATCATGTGAAATATAATTTGAGTAGGTATTTATTCAAGTTTGTGTACCTTGAAAACTTGAAGTTAGTGATTGGTATAAATCGTATGTGACAGTAGAGCCATCTTGTACAGTGAGGAAAACTCTTTCGCCAATTGGCCAAGGACATTTTACCCTGCCAATGATGCTATGAAGAATGGTTTGAACGTGGCCACTGAATCCCCACAGTCTTGTTGGAATGTATCTGTAAAGAAATCATTGTAAACTAAAATATCCGATAGAGAGTGAGATAATAAAATACAATCATTGTCTATAGTAGGGGAGCCCAAGAAAGGATTTTGGGATTTACTCGAGCGCGGAAAAATATCATAAGAGGGGTAATCTTGCACCTTTGTGAAGTACTCCCACCATACCTGGGCTCTTTAAATGTTGTCGAAAGTTTAGAGTAGCCGATCAGATAAGTAGAAAAAAATCGATCGTTGGAAAAAGCGCGTCAGATTAAGGCAAGGTAAGTTAATTACAAGCAGAAACGTATGCATTTCAATAATATGACGATTTGAACCTGACATAAGGAAGTGAGAGAGCCACAAAGTTGCAAAAAAACGTCCCCTGGATCACGGATCACGGAAATAACATAATCTGCCGATTTGCACGAGCCGAAGTAGCAAAAATCATCAATGAAGTATGTGTGCGTGCAGCCGCTAGGAACTATCTATATCCCACTTCGCGCCATTCTGCCTTTTTCACTCTTTCTTTATCTATCACTCTCTCGCACTGTCGCCACATAGCACAGATCACCCATTCACCCAACATCCAAATGCGAAAACTCTAGGCTTCCAGAATCAAATTTGTAAATGGGCATGTCCGAAAAAATCACATTTGACATGAACATTGCACTTGTTTTGAGCTGTTGTACTTGAATATGTAGAAATATAAAGGGTGTTCCATTTGTAAAAACGAAGTTGCTGGCATTTCCAGAAAAACCGGAGTCCGCCATATTGGATTGCATAATGTAATCAAATTCGAAATGGTTGCTTATATAACTGTACCAAATTTCAGAAAAATCCGTTCATTAATGCAGAAGTTGGGGTGGCCCGATACCATTTGTGTCACCCGGTTAGTCTATGAGCTTAATATCTTAAAATTGTAAATGCTTTTGAGCTGTTGAGGTCCTGCTACAAGAAACTGACCCACCCTGTATATATTATAATTGAGTTTACAGTCAGTAACCAAAAAAAATATTTTTCAGATTAGGGAAATTCCTCTAATTGTCAGATTTTGGTCAATACGATAAGGGCATTAAGATGAAGCGTCTGTATAATAGTCTGACGCGCTCGAGTATTTCAAGGTCACAATTTTTTTACATTTTCGAAAATTGATGGCATTTGATCACGTCCAAATTATCAGTCTTTCGAATAGGAGCTACTTGAGGGTTCACTTAACATCCCTTCTAAATATCTGACGTGCTCGAATATTTTTTTTTACCTATTCTCTACCCTCTTCATACGGTCACCCCAACCATGCAAACCGGCAGATTAATATTTTTCTGTTATCAGAAACATGGGTCGAATAAATACACTATTGATATCTGAAGCGCTGAAGTATTTCTTTGTGACTGTTTTTTTTTACATTTTTGGAAACCTGTTAACACTTTCCCCACCAGTGAAAGGGCATACCTCATATAAGCTTAAACCTTTCTAGCATCCCATCTTCATAATCTAATAGGTCCCCACGACGCTCGATTGAATCCCTATTTAGCCTTTGGCTCCTCTACTACTAACCACAAAAATAAATCATCGGTTAAATTCGAAATATATCTATTGCCGTCTTTTTTTTACGTTTTGGAAGACACGAAAGGAAATCCCTATAATGTTTTTGCTATGTTTTAGTTCAACTCTTACTGTATCCAAAATAGTAATAAACTCATCGATAATAGCCGAGTGGACAATTTCTTTTTATTACTTAAATAGAAATATCACTCAAATACCTTTCAATTTCATATTTTTTCAGAATTTTTCGGTCGATTTCAAGGTGCTAAAATCATCAATATTACCACGGTAATTTTCAAACGGCTAGAGATTTACCGCGAGTAAAAACTGACGTCACGATTTCGGAAGTAGGGGCAGACCATAGCACAGTTGCCATATGTTGAAATACGACTGGGAACTTCAGAAATATTAGTTATTCAATTATTCATAAATTCTCAATATGTATTGCTTTAATACTTATTCCTAATCATCAATAAAAAATCAATTGTCTCATAATTTTCCCTCCTGTGTTGTGTTAGGAAGATGGAGTTTGGACAATAGATACATTTCAATTTTGATATGGTATTGGTATGGTATATGCAAGAATTTCATTATTTGGGTTTTTCTTGTTGACAGATTTGATCAATGATTTTGTTATCCATTGTTTCCTCTTCTTTTCACTATCTCTGACTTTGGTTGTACATTTCGGCATTGTAAGGTAAACCGCAACCTCTGGGAGTACCCACAATACAAATACTAGATATAAATTACTAACTAGACCGCTAATGACATAAGATATGAACTCATTCATTTACGAGGTCTAACTTGTTTCCAAGAAGCGTGCGCATTCAGTACCTGTCCTATATCATCTCACTAGATAATAGTTATGTCAATGCAATAAACCCATTTTGGATCGCGGTATTCGCCCCACTCTCTATGGTATTCATTAATGATACCCGATGTGATACCATGTACCTAATGCATCTACAATACAAATTGTATAATATGTAGGTATATGCAGGGCGGTCAAAATCGACACAAAAAATGGCTAAAAACTATTCGTCGTTTTTGTGAATTTGTAAAATGTGTATATCGCTACTTCAAAGTTTGGAACCAACTCCCCAGAAGTCGAAACTTGTGCGGGGTTAGGAAGAGCGGGACCTACAGCTTATAGTGGAATCCGAACCACTTCTCGGTCATCGATGTACTGCCAGGATTACAACCATTAATCACACATTTTCAGCACTCTTCTAGAAACAGCGTGTAGCTTATACGCCATTCAAAATCGACAATAAATCAAGAAAACATGATGTATCTCTGATTTTTTAGTATGTTGTTTGGACCCATTAGGGTAGTGTATACCCAAGTTTGCAACTCTCTAAAAGTTGTGGAAGAAGGGTAGCACACAAACTATGCACATTGCTCGGCGGATTGTTCGACGAAAGCCATTGTATACGTTTTTGAAGAACATTGAATGTGTGACAATTTAAGCCTAGACCTTCTATAGATCAAAATTGCCGCTGAACCATCGATCCTACGAGTAGAACTCGATCATTGAATAGGAAATGTAGGCAATTTAATTAGCTTGAAATTAACCTTCAAAAAAAAACTATATGAGGTAAAATCGCATTTTTCCAGGAATGTTCCCAAATCTTTGGTCTTTTGTTGTGGTAATAGGAGAGAAGGCATGCAATCATTCAAAAAGCGGTAAAATGTAATTTAATATAATTATGAGTCATCAAAATCACAGTAATCAATCAAGTATAGACACATATTCAAAATTGTCGCCTAATTTTTGGTGGCCCTGGGCCGTCAGTTTCGATACACCTTTCAACAGGTAGATCCTCCACTATTGGTGGATCGTCATCGTCGTCCTCTATTGTCAGTATTGGTGGATCGTCAGGGTAATCTTGAGACTTCAGAGCTTGAGAACATTTCAGCCCTGCTTTCAGACAAGTGCAGCCACCTCTGCATCCCTTCCTGCATTTGCAAGATAGGAGCTCTGGGAGAGCAGTAGTTTGCCGACTGGCAATAGTCAGTGGCCTCTTTCTCCACCTCGAACCACTTTTGCATCTGGTGGAATTTTCGATTGTGCGCATACGGACCAGATTCGCCTTGGCGTCTTGACAAAAGTACAGAAACCTACATCGTTGAGGTTGTCTGTCGTCTTGTCTTCTCCATATACGGCAACTAGACACTTGTCGCCGGCTGCTGCGACTTGTTGGTGTGTGGCATCTGGCTGGAGAAAAACTCATGCTCGGTCCATTAGGGCGAGTTGCATCCAGTTCCCTACCACCTCTGTCCTCTTCTGGCAGGGGAAGGTAAAACATGGAGCCACATCAGACAGATTTAAGCCCTAGTGGATCAAGCAAGAGTTTTTCTCTAGCCACAAACCACACACCAATAATTCGCGGCAACCAGTGACAAGTGTCTAGTTTTGTTATATTGAGGAGACGAGACGACAGACGCCCTCAACGATGTATGCTTTCGTACTTTTTGTCAAGACAGCAGCCAACGCCAAAGCGAATCTGGCCCGTTTGCCCCCAACTACACAGGGGATGCGTCCTTTGACTCCTATCATCACTATCCCACATACCACCAGGTACAAAAGTAGTTAGGGTGGAGAAAGAGGCCATCGACTGGGGTTGAAAATTGAGCTCCTAAAACTGCTTTACTATAAATGCCAGAAGGGATGCAGGGGTGGCTGCACTTGATTGGAAGCAGCGCTCAAATGTTCTGTGATGTGTGCTCTTGCTCTGGAGAAATGTGCCAGAACGCTGCACTTATCATCATCGAAGAGGACGAGGCTGAAGACAACCCTGACGATCCACCAATACTGGAGCACCTACCTACAGAGGACTACCAATAATGGAGGACCTACCTGTTGAAAAGTGCATTGAAAGTGATGGCTCAGGGCATCAAAATTAAGAAGAGGATTTTTTTTTTATTTTGATGTGTCTATATTCGATTGATTGATTTATTGATTGATTGATTACTGCATAATTACTGTACTTTTGATGACTTATGTTTAAAGTATATCCGTTTTTCAAATGATTGCATAACTTCTGTCGCATTACCACACCAGAAAACGGAAGATAGCTCGGAAGAAAGATTTTGGGAAAAGTTCTGGAAAAATACAATTTTACCTTATATAGGTTTTTTCGAGATTTTGAGAGAACTACAGATCTGACATGAAGCTTATTTGTAGCTAATTAAATTGCCAACATTTACTATTCAATGAGTTATATTCGCAGGATCGATGGTTCAGTCGCAATTTTGATCTAAAGAAGATCGGAAACAAAAAGTTTGATTCTGGAAAAATGGTCCATTTTCGAAGTTACAAAATTCAGTAAATAATCGAATAAATAATGATCTACAGAGCTCCGGTTAGTCTAAAACTGTCACACATTTTCAAAAATGTAAATAATGGCTGTCGTCGAAAGATGCGTTCAGGATATAAAAGTCCAAAAATTTCGCACTTTTCGTGTGCCTTTTT